TAGAATGAGAGACTTAAAAAACTTTGTACTGACCTGGAAGAGAAGCATGAAGCATCAGAGCTTCAAATAAAGCAGCAGTCTACAAGTTACAGAAGTCAACTACAACAGAAAGAGGTAAAACTTACTACAGTTACATCATATTTATTTCATATAATACATTTGGGAAGGTTTTGAAGAGTTACAATATAAATTGTTAAGTACTGAAAGGGTGTTGAATTAGTAATGCCTAACTCAGCTTGGTATGACTAATTTGACAAGGTCTCTGTAAGCTTTTCTATTAAGTTTATAGTACATAAACTAACCTTGGTAGCAAAAAGAATTCGTTGACATTCAACCATTTCAGGAGGTAGTATGTGATTAAGAACCAATAGTACGAAAGGCCGAAACCCAAGCTGTACTGAAGGCATTGGGAAAAAACAAGGCTCCAGTTGAGATGTTTCAGCAAATGGATGCAGTTCTGGAAGTGCTCATTCATTTATGCCAAGAAATTTGGAAGATCTGGCCAACTGACTGGAAGAGATCCATATTTGTGTCCATTTGAAAGAAAGGTGATCCAACAGAATGTGGAAATTATTGAACAATGTCATTTATTTCACAGACAAAATTCTGCTGAAAATAATTAAAAAATGGTTGCAACAGTACATGGGTAGGGAACTGCCAGAGATACAAGTTGGATTCAGAAGAGGAATATGGAACAAGGGATATCATTGGTGATGTCAGATGTATCTTGGCTGAAAGCAGAGAATACCAGAAAGAGGTTTACCTGTGTCTTATTGACTGTGGAAAAGCATTTGACTGTGTGGATCATAACAAATTATGAAATTATGGATAACAATGTGAAGAATCAGAATTCTAGAACACTTCGTTGTGCTCAGGAGGAAACTGTACCTAGACCAAGAGGTAGTCATTTAAACAGAACAAGGGGATGCTGCAAGGTTTAAAATCAGGGAAGGTGTGTGCCAGGGTTGTATCCTCTCACCATACTTAGTCAATCTGTATACTGAGCAAATAATCTGAGAAGGTAGACTATATGAAGAAGAACACAGCATCAGGATTGGAGGAAGACTCATTAACAACCTACAGTATGCAGACAATACAACCTTGTTTGCTGAAAAAGTGAAGAAGACTTGAAGAACTTACTGATGTAGATCAAAGAGTACAGCCTTCAGTATGGCTTATATCTCTACATAAAATAAAAATCCTCACAGCTGGACCAATAAGCAGCATCATGATAAATGAAGAACAGGGTGAAGTTGTCTAGGATTTTGTTTTGCTTGAATCCACAATCAACACCCATGGAAGCAGCGGTCAAGAAATCAAAAGGACCCTTTGTAATGGGCAAATGTGCTACAAAAGACTTCTTTTAAGTGTTAAGGAGCAAAGATGTCTATTTGAAGACTAAAGTGAGTCTGTCCCAAGCTGTGGTATTTTCAGTTGCCTCATTTGCAAGCGTGGTAGTTAAGTTTGTGTGTCAACCTGGCTGGGCCTGGTTGAGTGGTGGGGCAGGTGAATGTAGTTATTCCCCATGGTGAGAATGGTAATTAACTCCATGGTGGAATCTATTGGAGCAGCTGAGTAGCTTCTTTGGGTATGTGGTCTGCTTCCTGTATATAAGAAACAGCTTTGGGGTAGTGGTCTCTAGCTTATGGCACGCTTGAACCCTGTGTGTAGCTGTATCATTGTTCAGCAACCTGCCGTGCTCTGCCAGTCTTGGGACTTTTAATGGACTTGAATTAATGGCCTGCCATGTGGTTTGGTGATATTGGGACTGTGCCTTTTTACTTGTCAACCTTGGGCTTATCAGTCTCAGCAGCCAGCAGAAAGCCTCCAGCTTCAGTCGGCCAGGAGCAGGAGGCAGAGCTAAAGCCCAAGGTTGAGAGACTTTCACCCACTCCCACCCTAGAGCCTGGCACTTTGCACTCAGACTTAAAGCCTCCAATTGTAAGAATAAACTCTTGTTTGTTAAAGCCATCCCATTTGTGGTATAATCCTGTCAGAGTGGCACTGGGTAGCCAGAACAGCATGTGAAAGCTGGATGAATGAGGAAAAGTGCAGAAGGGTTGGTGCATTGAGTTGTGGTGCTTGCTGGTGTGGACCAGAAGAAGAAACAAATCTGTCTCAGAAGAATGCTCCTTAGAAGTGAGGATGGTGAGACTGTCTCCCTTCCTTTGGTCATGTTATCAGAGGGACCAGTCCCTGTAGAAGGGTACCAGGCTCAGTGTGGTAGTTAAGATTGTGTGTCTGTCATCTTGGCTGGCCATGATTTTGAGTGGTTTGGCAGCTGGATGTAGTTGTTACTCCCCATGATGAGGTTGGATGTGGTGTCATTACTTTCATGGTGCAGTCTGCTGTGAGCAGCTAATTTGTTGATGGGGGGAGTTACCTTCAGGGTATGGCTGCTTCCAGTATATATGGAGAAGCTTTGGGAAAGGTTCTTCAAATCCACCAGCCACTCTGCAGAAGGAAGACGGGGCACTTCTGTAAGGGTTTACCGCCTCAGAAACCCAGTGGGGGTCGCTATGAGTCAGAATCGACTCAGTGGCAGTGGATTTGGTTTTGCTTTTTGGGAAAGGTCTCTAGTTTCTTGGCTCATTTTGGATCCTGCGTTGACCTGTCATCATTTCCAGTTCTGAACTTGAACCAGTGGCCTCCAGTGTTGCCTGCCGATCTTGGGATTGTTGCCTTCGCAGTCTGAGCAACAGTCTGCTATTTTACCTGCTGATCTTGGATTCATCAGTCTCGGGAGCTAGCAGTCTGCTCAACTGCCTGCTAATCATGAGTTCATCAGCCCCTGCAGCTGCCTGAGTCAGAAGGCACCTCCAGCTTGACGTTTGATCCATGGACTTTGGACTTTACAGCCTCTACAACTGCATAAGCCATTTCCTAGAGATACATTTCTCTCTCTCTCTGAGCTTCACTGGTTTTGCTTCTCTAAGAACTCAGCCTAAGACATTGGGTAAAGTAGAAGGTCAATAAGAAAGAGGAGGACCCTCACGAGATGGATCGACACAGTGGCTGCAGGAATGGGCTCAGAGCTACAGTTGTGAGGGTGGCGCAGGACTGGGCAGTGTTTTGTTGTGTTCTACATCAGGTCAACTCAACAGCACCTGATGATAGCCTTTGTAGAGTTTAATTTCTACTTCTAAAAAGAAGAAGAGTCTTTGTATAAAATATCTTCAGGTGCTTGTTGTTTATAATTACTGATTTTACAATACCTAATTGCTCATCTGTTAGTTGTTTTAAATCATTACTAAGGACAGTTTCTCTTTTTAAAAAAAATACTTGACTGCAAGTATTTTTGTATTGGCATCAACTTGCTTTTCCTCAGAAAAGGGGAATATTGAGTATTGAATAGTGACCTTTACTGTTCCATACATGTTTCAGTTTTACTTTTTGTGTTTGTTTTGGTAGAAATGATTGTTTGGGAATTGGCTTATGTTTGTAGTACTGGTAATAGATACTATAAAATTTAACCACTATTATTATAACTATTAAAATATGGACTATGTTCTCATGTTTCATGCTGTTGTTGAATTCTCTTTAGTCTGTAGCATGTAAATAATTTCAATAAATAAATTGAATCGAACCATTTCCTGTTTTATTATTTAGATTGAGTGTTGTTCTGTTTATTGATTAAATGTTCATTTCTATTGTGACTTTGTATTTGGGCTTTTAAAATTTACATGCTTGATTTTTGGTTACTTTGGTGACATACTGAGATGAAAAATAGAAGTAAACCATTTTTAAACATTTGTAGTAGTGCTTTCAAAACTGTTTATGGTGAAGAACCAGTTTTCTTTATATTTAATTTTCAGTCTTTTGAGGGTTGACAGTTTCATAAAACACAATAAAAATGAATTACTATAAAAATAAATGCAAGAAAGGAAAGGTAGAGGTCACAATTTTTTGAGTCAACAGATTCAAAAATTACTCTGCCAGATTGCTTTGGAGGTCTTTAAACCTTACTCTGTCAGTTTCTGTGTTTACTTTGTCGTGGATGGTGGCCTGCGTTCATGGCATTAGTCCATAGAACACGAGTGAACACTATTAGTACCAGTGACTCAGAGGATGTTACGATAGTTTCTATCCAGGGGTTTATAGCATAATTAAAAGTGGCATTTTGACATTTCATTTTCTACTTAAGTGTTGAGAGGGAAAGGCAAATGAAGCATTAAGACTTAGGAAATGCCTCTGTTATTAGGAGTTGCACCTAATTAGGAGTTGCACTCTACAATTTGGTATAAATTGTTTATTGTATAAAGTACTTTCTTTGTATTATAGTTAACTTTTGATGAAAGCATATATTTCAGTACTTGTTACTAGTATGAAAGATAGTATATGAATATGCATTAGACCTGCTGTTTTCTTGATGTTTGTTATCCTCATTGTGATGTTCATACTCCCCCAGAGATGCCGTTTACCTCATATCATTTATGAGAAAATGAGTGAAACTGATGTACACTGCTGTAAATCTAGCAAGAAAGCCTGCTTATTGTGCCATTTAACATTAATGTGCTTGTTTTTTTTTTGGTCTCATTGTATTTATCCATGTAGAGATACTATATACTATTATTTGTTGGCTGTCTCCTTAGTATCAGATTTTCCTAAGTTGTAGTAGAGTGTTTTCTTGACCTGTTTGAGTCCCTTGCAGAAAGCTTAGTTCAGTTCTCTCTAGCTTACTTACTTTTATATTTTAAGTAATTTTTCACTAGGAATGGATGAGGTGGTATGATGGGTCCAGCGTATAGATACCTTCTTTTGGACCGTGACTTGGTTTTGCCGGCCTCATCAAAACTCTGTTCAGTGTTACAGAATTTTTATGCTGTTCTCTCTCTGACCAAAACTAAACCAGTCTCACTGCTGTGGAGTCTGATCCAACTCATAGCGACCCCTCCTTGGGTTTCTGAGGCGGTATTCTTATGGAAGTAGATTGCCCAGCCTTCCTTCTGTGGAGTGGCTAGTGGGTTTGAACCGCCAACCTTCTGGTTAGCAGTCAAATGCCTTAGGTACTATGCCACCAGATCCATGTTATCTCTCTGAGGAGGGTCAGATTTTCTGATCCCTCTCTGGCTCAGCTCAAGTGAGGGCCTCGCTTAGTGCGTGGTTTCCTCCTGAGACTCAGGGGCTAATAACTGTGGACGCACCATGCTGTCTTATCTAGAGAGATTGGGTTAATAATCAGAGTATTCTTGCAGCTGTGTTATGCAGACCAGTAGAAAGTTGCCTCTGAATCATGGTGCATTTGAAGCCTAAATCCAGCCGTAATCAGTTACATAAGACTCTTCTATTAGCAGATGTTCTGAGGAAACTTCTTTTTTTAAAATTTTTATTGTGATTTGGGTGCAAATTTAGAAAGTAGATTGCTTTCACTCAACGATGCGTGCACACTGAGGAAACTTTTTGATGCATAGACTTAACACCACCTTTTATTTCCTCATCATCTAAGATTGATCACAAATAGCTCTGAGAAATTACTACTCCATAGATGATAGAAAACACATGTTTAACTTAGAAATGAGTTCATTGCTTTAATGTGAATTAAATTACATGTGAATGTGAATGAAATTACAGTCACTATACTGTTTGGGACATTGTGTTTTAACTGTGATAATCGTATTTGTTTTTTAAATACTTACCTTATGGTGAGGATGTTATTGGAGACTTAGAGTCAGTACCATCATGGGATGATCTTAAATTCTTATAACTTCTAATGCTGTGAATCTATAAAATGGTCAACGTAACCATGTATTAAAGTACTTTCTTCTGAAACATGAATCCTAACCGTGTAGGTAGAGATCAGCCATCTTAAAGCAAGACAGATTGCACTACAGGACCAGTTGCTGAAGCTGCAGTCGGCTGCTCAGTCAGTGCCTTCAGGAGCTGATAGGGCACTGTCAACCACTGCATCACCGTCATGTGGTTATGGTGTCAGTCATCATGCCTCAGCTTTCCATGGGGATGACATGGACTTCGGTGACATAATTTGGTCACAACAAGAAATAAACAGATTGTCAAATGAAGTTTCCAGACTTGAGTCTGAAGTTGGACACTGGAGGCATATTGCTCAGGTAGGTAAGGTGGTTGTGAGTTTTTGAAAAGTAACAGTGAGTGGAAGTGCTGATGGTTCATGTAGTGCAGAACGTTTTGGTCGGGTCTTTTCACCCTCTCAGCCTCTGTTTTCCCTTCTGTACAACATTGGGAGAAATTTGAAAACAAAATTTCAGCAACAGAATCTCCCCCCACCCCCACAGAATAACATAAAGTTAAAAGTGTAGGATTAAAAGAGACCACAGTGGAGTTGCTCTGGTTGAACCAGCACCCCTCCCCCAGGGCTCCCTGTGGCTGCTCTGCCAGAAACACAGGCTTCCAGGTTTGAAGCCCTTCACTGAGAACGCACGAGGATCCTCATTACATAGAACGTGAAAATTTGATGCTTGGTGTTACGAAATGAGTTAAACTATTCATTATTGTTTTTCATACCTTAAAAATTAAATCCTTACCATTTGGGGTTGTAAACTTTTTCCCAAGGAACCATTTTGTCTTACATACCAGATTTTATAGACTGTTGAGGTTGTCAGTAGACACAGGAGACCCAAAATAAACTTGATGGAACATTGTTCACTTGGTTACAGTGTTATCAATGGAGAAAAACAAAGCGTATAAGTAAAAATGATTTATTTTTCTGATTGTGATCTAGTTGAAACAACAACAGCAATGAAAACATCCCAATGAAAATTATCGTCTTGCTTCCCAAGTTGCTAGATAATGTGGTGACACAAAGTACACCTTAGAGAGGATGATCTCGTTGTCCATCTGATTTCCAGAAAGTGGTAGCTCTTCAACTCTGTGCGTGTGCGAATAACCAGGGGGCTTCGTTCTACAGCAGGTTCCCCGTCCTGTCTCTAGAGATTTTTATTTTGTAGCTATTTTAAGGCCTTGGGAACTCCATTCAAATAAGTAACCCTGGTGATTCTGCTAATATGAGGAACACATTTTAAGAAACATTACTTTGGGTAAGGTTTCCTAGGGAAGAGATGGGTTTTTGGTATGTTCATTTCAGCATATCTTGAGTGCCTAGTATGTGAAAGGCTTGAGTGGGATGTAAAGATCAAATAGGCATAATTGGAACCCCTTAGGGGCTGTAACTTTCTATCAAGGAATAATAAAAATTGGTATTTGTATCACATACTACAAAATGCTTCTGTATATTATCCTTAGTAACTTCCTGTTTTGCAGATAAGGAAGCTAAAAGTTTAAGTAATACACTGTCCCACAGATGAGTTGTGATTCAAGTACGCATCCTTTGATTCCACATTCTGTGTACTTTTCTGTGTCCTCCTCTAGCTGTAAGGCAGCTTTCAGTTATTGCATACTCTGGTAAATGGAGAGGCACTCTGGCGGCTTAGTAGTTAAACACTTGGTTGCTAACTGAAAGGTTGGCAGTTTGATCCCATCAGCTGCCCCGTGGGAGCAAGATGTGGCATTCTGCTTCTGTAAAGATTTAAAGACTTAGAAGCTCTACAGGGCAGTTGTACTCTGCCCTATAGGATTGCTACATATGAGTCAGGATCAACTTGACAGCAGTGGGCTTGGTTTTGACTTAGTAAATATTAAAGATAAATGAATGATGTCCAGCTTTGAGAAGAAAAGAATCCAAACATTCTTTTATTGTCAAACCAAAGGTGTTTCTTCATTAGGGTAGAGAGCTCCTGAGGATAGTCATTCAAGAAAGAGTTTTACCAGGTTATTACGAATATCAGTGTTGGTTAACTTTCCGTTTTAGAATTTTCCTTTCAGAAGGATGTTAGATAATCATTAAATTTACATCTTGTTCAGCTAAGTGAAATATTCTATGTTTTTTCCCTCTAGTTATTTTGTGAAAGAGTTGTTTTCCTAGTTAGTTAAACTTTGGAATGGTGTCTTTTATGTATTGTTTATTACTCACTATTGGATTAGGCTCTTTAAAAAAATGCTTGACATTCTACAACCAGAATCTGTTTGGGAAATGTTTGTTTTTTGAAAAAACATGTTTGTTACTTTCTGTTTTACAGGAAAGTCAAGATGATTATTTTCTAATTCTTTTTTTTCTGACCTAGACAACTAAAGCACAAGGGGCAAATAGCTCTGATCAGAGTGAAATCTGCAAGCTGCAAAATACCATCAAGGTACGGCAGGTGGTTTGGAAC